GAAGTTGTATATCTAACACCGCATAAAATAACTCAACACAATAACAATGTAGATTAGTGACTTTTTCACCACGCCATGATTAATATCTCATTCATATTCGGAATAATAATATCATATTTTTCACAAAAAGAAGAGATCTCGGCGACTAAAGCATCTCATCCATCATCCCTCATCATTTATAGAAGTTGTTTAGATACTTTAACTAATTAAACTCTTAACATTTAAAATATCTTGATCTTTTATTTGTAATGTTTGTGATAGTTTGTTTGTAATTCTCAATACACCTTTCATCAAATGTAAATTGAATACGAAATCAAAAAATTGACCTGGATCTAATAAAGCACATGTTTCACCTCTTTGCTCAGAAGTTGTACCATCTTCTACAATAATCTCAAGCACATCAACAACAGAGGAGAACAAAACAATCACATTTATGAGAGTACCATAATGTGAGCCCCAACGTGTATCACCAACCCTTTGAAGACTACTTTCTTGATGCAAACTACACCCACTTAATAACTCTCCATTATTTAGTTGACTGTTGACCGAAGATGAAACAAAAAAAACCTACATAAGTCCATAAATAAATACACCAAATAACCATCAATTTTATAGGAACTAAACTAATTTTCTAATATAAAAATTCTGATTTTAGATTACTACTAATATTACTATCAAAAAATTTGATTAATTAATTATCTCTCCTTAGTTTCAACATAATCTTGTAGGATTTCTTCAAAGTTTGACTTGCATAACGATTGAATCTAATAGATTGATTCGTTGATGAATACACCAAAGAAACTAACAAAGAAACCAAAGAAAAGAAAGAAGAGGGACTGGACTAGAACTCTGGAAGTTGGACCGACCAAGAAGACAAAGATGACTTACGGGAAAAAAAATCAGACATAAAAATTGAGCTGCTGCCAAAAGTTAACTTTTAAAAAAATTTCAGTTGAGGTAAGTTTAAGAAATTTTTAAAAATTTTAAAATTACACCTAAGTCTCAAAATCTTTTAAAGTTTTATAGTAGGGACAGCTGCCCCCACTGCCCCTGTACCCAATCCGCCCCTGGTGGTGATGATGGTTGTTGTGCAACACGGTGTGCATGCGCTCTCTTGGAAGGAAAAATGCATCGAGTAAAACATTTGAAACTGGAAAATTTCAGCGACATTTCATCAAGTTTATTATTTCTTCAAGTACACTCATTATGTTATTCAAGTACACTCCTTATATTATTTAAAACATCACTGTTTTCTAGTTTATATTTAAACATTACTACACTTTTGTTAAACCACCATTTCTAACCAAATAAATTCAACTTAAATATTAAAATTGCCCTTATATAAATCTTAAATAATCTTTTTATATAAAATTTGATTAAAATTCCAGTTAATTAAAATTTATTTTTTTATATCTTAAAATTTGAGTTGATTAAAATTCATTTTTTCACATATTAAAATTTTAGTCGATTAAAATTCAATTTGAACTGATTCAATTTATTTTTTTTCTTATTAAAATTCGAGCGAATCAATTTTTTTTTACATATTAAAATTTGAACATATTTGAGCTCAACATGAGCTGTTAACACCAATTAAAATTCAATTCGAGTCGATTAAAATTTATATATTTTACTTATCAAAATTTAGGTCAATTAAAATTCAATTCGAGTTAATTAAAATTTAATTCAAGCCAATTAAAAAAGAATCGAAATTTAATCAACCTAAATTTTAATACATAAAAAAATCATAGATTGCCAAATTATCTTCCTAAAATATATCATGAGCAATTTAATAAAATTGTATTATAGTTAAGGCTTTTAATTTGATAGAAGGTGTCAGTAAAGATTTAAAAAATAAAAAATGTGTCCTTAAAAATATGATAAACTAAAAAGGATGTGACTAAAATTTTTCCAAAACTTATGTTGACTGTGTTTTTGTCATTTTAGAACTTTGGTTAGAAAAAAGTGAGAGATGTTACTGATAGGGGAGTGCAATGTTCGATACTTGAGGGGTCTCATTGTTATTTGAACAAATCTCAAGGGACGTAAATACAATTTACCCTATTTTTCTCACTGTCAATTTTCAAAGTATTGCCATAATGGGATTTTATTCCATCAATAAGGTAATTTTTTAACCTTTTTTTTTTCAAATTCTAATTTTTATAAAATCATAATTTAAACCTCCATTTTCACTACAAGCAAAATCTGAAAATCACATTTTACATATTGCTTAAATTCAAAAAATTCTCTATCGGACAAACACTCAAAAAATTCCACCCCCCCCCCCTTTTGTTTTTTTTTTTTAATTTTATGGCAAGTGGGATCTCCCTATGTTAGTGGTGATATACTACTGAGAAAACAATTGAGAAAAAAAATAAATTAGCAAATGGAGATCTGGATCAAAAGAAGCATTCTTAGGTAGGACAACCTCTGCACTAGAAATCAACAATTTGGAACATGTACACTTCTACATGTAATTCACAAGGTCAGTACAAGTTGGTCCCTAATACAACATGTTGATACTAACTATACCACAGCAACAATAACCCATACCAATATAAATCCCAAATACGGATAAAGGTGATGAAAGTAGGGGAGTATACTCCAAAAAATTATGGGTACTCTGCACCCCTCCAGTAAAAGTTAGTGAGTTCAATTTTTGGAACAAATGAATTTCCTCTCCTAGTGTTTTGACACTCGTGATCTAGGATTCCTTCTTTCTAACACGGTATGGGTATTTTTGGTATATTGAAATGCTAGTAATCACAAAAGGAAGAGCCACAAGGCAAAATAATGAAGGTGGTTTCCCGTCAAAGATGAACTGCAGCAAGGCTGTGACGAGAAGTGCAGATACGATGACAAATCCCTGCACGCATTTGAAAAGAAATGTTTTTAACAAATCGAAGAGTATAAGAATTCTACAATTGTAAAAGAATCTGAAAACAATCTTTAGTTGTAGATATCTATATCAGAATGAATAGAAACGGTACACCCTTGGGCTACGGGGACCTCCTAGCATTAAGAAGTCGGCCATTCGCAGAGAGAAATTTACTAATTAACCAATTGCCATAATTTTGGATTTCTACTCAAGTTTATCCATGAAGATGACTATCCAGCCACAAAGCCTTGAAGGAAAATTTAAAAAGATTCGCCTGTTTCAACAGACCATTCGGGGGTTACTTACGCTCGTTTGGTATATGGTATTAGATCTAGGGAATGAAATGAGTATTACTCGGTAATGAATATTCCTTTGTTTGAAGGAATTCTAGCAATAGCCCCGTGCGTGAAGCACTATCGAGCATTGATCATGCAATATTCATATTTTAAATAGTAATTTTTTTTTCATTTTTTTTTATTTTTCCCTTTTCTTTTCTCTTTGTCCACTTTATTTTTTTTAAAGTAGACAAAAATAAGAGAGGTACGTGTGAATTAGTAGAGTTGTCTATATTGGGGGCCGTGCAGAGATGATAATATTTTTGGGTGAATTTTTTTTTGTAATGAATTTTGTACTGTTAGATGAAATTAGATGAATAATGAATTAATCTCAACCATTACTCTATTTTTATAAATATGCAATTCAAATTGCTAACTGTAATATTTGATAAATATTTTTGAGCTATTATGACCCTAATATTTCCATAATATNGGGATCTCCCTATGTTAGTGGTGATATACTACTGAGAAAACAATTGAGAAAAAAAATAAATTAGCAAATGGAGATCTGGATCAAAAGAAGCATTCTTAGGTAGGACAACCTCTGCACTAGAAATCAACAATTTGGAACATGTACACTTCTACATGTAATTCACAAGGTCAGTACAAGTTGGTCCCTAATACAACATGTTGATACTAACTATACCACAGCAACAATAACCCATACCAATATAAATCCCAAATACGGATAAAGGTGATGAAAGTAGGGGAGTATACTCCAAAAAATTATGGGTACTCTGCACCCCTCCAGTAAAAGTTAGTGAGTTCAATTTTTGGAACAAATGAATTTCCTCTCCTAGTGTTTTGACACTCGTGATCTAGGATTCCTTCTTTCTAACACGGTATGGGTATTTTTGGTATATTGAAATGCTAGTAATCACAAAAGGAAGAGCCACAAGGCAAAATAATGAAGGTGGTTTCCCGTCAAAGATGAACTGCAGCAAGGCTGTGACGAGAAGTGCAGATACGATGACAAATCCCTGCACGCATTTGAAAAGAAATGTTTTTAACAAATCGAAGAGTATAAGAATTCTACAATTGTAAAAGAATCTGAAAACAATCTTTAGTTGTAGATATCTATATCAGAATGAATAGAAACGGTACACCCTTGGGCTACGGGGACCTCCTAGCATTAAGAAGTCGGCCATTCGCAGAGAGAAATTTACTAATTAACCAATTGCCATAATTTTGGATTTCTACTCAAGTTTATCCATGAAGATGACTATCCAGCCACAAAGCCTTGAAGGAAAATTTAAAAAGATTCGCCTGTTTCAACAGACCATTCGGGGGTTACTTACGCTCGTTTGGTATATGGTATTAGATCTAGGGAATGAAATGAGTATTACTCGGTAATGAATATTCCTTTGTTTGAAGGAATTCTAGCAATAGCCCCGTGCGTGAAGCACTATCGAGCATTGATCATGCAATATTCATATTTTAAATAGTAATTTTTTTTTCATTTTTTTTTATTTTTCCCTTTTCTTTTCTCTTTGTCCACTTTATTTTTTTTAAAGTAGACAAAAATAAGAGAGGTACGTGTGAATTAGTAGAGTTGTCTATATTGGGGGCCGTGCAGAGATGATAATATTTTTGGGTGAATTTTTTTTTGTAATGAATTTTGTACTGTTAGATGAAATTAGATGAATAATGAATTAATCTCAACCATTACTCTATTTTTATAAATATGCAATTCAAATTGCTAACTGTAATATTTGATAAATATTTTTGAGCTATTATGACCCTAATATTTCCATAATATTGCATATTGCATCTTATAAAGTCATCTACATCTAGGGTATCACACTTGCCTTTCGAACACCACCGGCATGTGATGTCACGAGGCCCACAAGAATTCCACCAAAAGCATTGATTGTTACAGGGATCTGAAACAGAAGGAGAAAAATAACCAGAAAAGTTAATCTCCAAAAGTCAAAAAATACACAATTATATTAGTTGATTTTAATGAAAATAAAAATCAAATAAGTGTAGCTGAATGACAACTTCTGAATAACTCACATCTTACTCTTAAAATGGAACACAATGGAGGAGGGAAACAACTTAAAGTTAATTTTTATCTCAAATCCTAGAAGCATCATTCACATAAAGTCTTAGTTGTACTAATAAAGTTTATAAATTTACTGTGGACCAGATCAGATAAAGTTTTAACCATCCACATGATCTGTAGGCTTATTATTTGAGCATAAAAGTTTGTGGTGGTTCTCATTCTTACACTTGCGATTTCACCTCAGGAGCATTGTGACACAATATTAAAAAGCTTCAAATATTAAGAAAGATTGTTTGTTACCAAGGTTAGTGGAGTCCAGCCGTAAAAAAATCCATGCCTTCTGATAGCTTCTCCGTCTGGAGACTTAAAAATACTGACAAGCAGGCACAAGATCCCAACTACAGACATTTCGACAGTCATCATGTATGATGTTTGTTTCTTTACCTGTAATAAAAAGAAGGATATGGGAGATGGGAAACTATTACAGCAGCACAAAAAAAAATCCAGATCAAAGATGCAGACAACTTTTGCCAACCTGAGAAGCCCACTGACAGAGTGCAGAAGCCAGACCAGAAAGTACAGAAGCTATCAATACAGGAACAATTCCGTGAAACAAAATTTCATCAGGATTAGTGCTGCTGGAACCTTTTCTGGATCCTTCACCAATGCTTAGAAGAACAGCAGCAATTATTAACAAGAATAAGGAGCCAATTTGTTGAATTGATTGTTTCTGCCTACACATTGAACCAGAAAAGAAATAAAGGACCCTCAGTAACCACTATTCTCAAAATGAACGTCATAAAAGGGAGGTGTTAACAAGACAGGAAAAAATGTCAACAATTTTGTGTGTGTAATGTTACAGAATGTAAAAAACAGCTATAGATCATAATAGGAACTTGAGGAAAAGGAAAAACAAAGAACAGCACAGAAAAAATAAGGAAACTAACTAAAACTTTCTAGTTTTTCCTGTGGTAGGAAACTAGTAGAAGACTATTATCAAGAAGAAGAATTGTTTAGCAGCAAAGAATTCACAAAAAAAAAAAAGAAGAGAGAGCGACAAACTCACATGAATTGAATGTGCCAATATTTTTTTAATGAGAAGTGAGACCTACCTCAATATTATATAAGTAAACAAAGCAGTGAAAAATAGTTTTGTTTGGTTCAGCATGGAAAATGTGAGTGAATCAAGATTCTTGTATGAAATCTGCAACAAGGTACTTTGAAGTGCATAGATAGCTGCTGGCAATCCTGATGCAGTCAAAGAGCCAACCAAAGTCCACTGCTTGAATATTTTCTTCAAATTGCCTTCTTTTGCCATGAGAATAAGAGCACAAATGACCTGTGAAGCATATGAAACATTTAAGTATGTAGACTTAAGTGGAACCAAAAATAGAAGAAAGAGGAGAAGACAAAATGAAGAAGAAGACTTACCTTTACTACCTCACATGCTAATACAGATGAAGTCACAATCACTTCTTTCCTGCAGAAAAATAAACCCAGTTTAGAACTGGCAACATAGAGAGAGCCATGTGTCCAGCAACTATTTTTCCCATTTGTTGGCATTGTATAAAGTTGCAGAAGCAAGTATAACAGAACCATTCTTCTCTTGTTAGGTGTAAAAAAAACTACTTAAGAAGTTAGGTGAAGCTAGGAAGCAATGTTTTCAGGGAATGAAATTTGCAGGAACAAGTGGAAATTAAGTACTTAAAGCATGCAAAGGCTAATTTATGCAATTCTGCATAAAACGAGGATAAATATCTGAATTTGTGACTTCAATATTACATAATTAGGTGTTAAAACCTTATTAGGAGTACAAAGTGCTAGTCGCTTGTAGTGAACAACTCACCGACCAGGTATAAGAGCAGTACTGAACACGAACATAATAACAGGCACTAATCCAATACATTTATTGTTTCATTACACAACAACTTATTCTGGAGTAAATTACCCAAAAAATAACTTATTCTGGAGTACGATTCAAAATAAATCTGTACACTTGGTGTGCTACTTGTACAGCATGAAGTGCACAACAAGAGGGAAAAATTGAATAATGATGTAATGTGCACATGCATTATGCATAATATCAAAGTTTCGCACAAGTATCGAGTACTCGAAATGAAAATCAAAAACGAATAAAAACCTGTATGGAGCAAGAATGCTCAATTACATGGATGCTTCCAACACGACAAGCAAACTCAAACCTACATTCTAAATGGGTTTAGTCCATGCAGCTTGAAATTCAATTGTTTGTATCCAAGAGGACACTGATTAGTTTCGTGATTCCGGCACCTAAGCCAATTTTGAAGGTGTGAACAAAGAAAATAGAGCAACCAGTTACTCAGTCGCAAGATATATCAATGATGCAGTTCCCCTACATTTTGCAAGAGTTCCGAAAGAGTAAAATCCATTATCAACTTCAGATCATGAAAAACTTTGGTAGAAACACCACCACATAACCTCAAACTTAACTAAACTTTTAACAACCAATCCAACTCAATCCAGTGACGTTTATGCAATCAATAATTTGCGCACAAACCCCACCTTGACTATCGTTTCCAAAAGATTTTCCATTTTTGTTCAAGAAACTTAGACAAACTCTTACAACAACCTAAGATAGTTCTGTCTGACAGTTGCCTAGCCTCAGAAGAGTAATTCCTGAGCCAAGGAAATAAATTAGTGCATGGCAGAAGGCCATTACAAACGTTGTGTCCTCGCATTCTCCAGCCTGTTTTCCTCTTATAATACCAAATTAGATTTGTATCTGTACAAAACAAACATCGATAATGGCCAACAATTAAGAATTCTTCTTTTTTAAGTTATTACTCATCATTTCCATGACAAAAACCACATACAGTGATAAGTTATCACCAATCACAACACCATCTAGCAAAGGTAACTAAGGGTCTCTTTGGCAAACGTCAAAACCAGGCAACCTGAGAATAAGACCGAACTGGTTCCATAGGGAATTATTGGTACAGTCACTTTTCCCGTATTGTTGAAACCTCAACTGGAGAATAAGACAAAAATCCTTCCATTTTCAGACCAGCTCTATATCAGTTTATACTTGAACCAGATAAAGAGGCGGCCTCTTATTGGAAACCACAATAATAATTCGAATTACTCTGTATGCACAGTTCACAGTGTTGACCAACGTCTTTCTTTTAGTGTCAATTAATCAGACTATCTAGCTTGTCACTTGTTCCTTCCTAACTCAATCACATAGTAATGCAACTCATAGCATAACAAGAAAATTCTATCAAATCCTTCCTAAAAAATCCGAAATATAAACCGTAGTAAAAAATTACGACTAAATCATCAATTCTCATTCAAAATAATAATTTCAACATTTCTGTTAGTAACCTAAAATGTATATGCGTAATCAACAAGCAATTCGCACTGTTTTTAACCGAAATGTGAGAGGTAAAACAAGACAATCAAGCGGTCATGAAGCGAGCACAATCGTTTCTGTAGGAAATAAGGACGATCACGGTTCAGTGATGAAACATTACCTGGTGTAACGTTTAGAGACCAGCGGCTGAGCACCGTATTGGAGTGCGAGCATCAAAGAATAGAGCCAAACCTTCGTGTCTGTGCCACCTGAGTTCGGTTTTGGAGCTCTGGGTTTGGTCGCCGCCATTAATGGCCGACCTGACCTGAGAGACCGAACCCTTTATGATTTTGTTGCTGGAATGAGTCGATTCTTGAAGCAGTACAGTGTATATGCTTTTCAGATGGTCATGACGATGGTGGGGGATGAGTCGGATGACTCACTTGGCGACAGATGGTAGCCTTGGAAACGACGTCGCGGGAACGACTTTGAATGTTGGTTAAAAATGGTGCGTTTTCTTTCTTGCAGTACACAGGTTTGCCTTGGCATATTCGATATTGTCTGATATAAATTTGAGTAAAGCGAAAAGTTTAATTTGGTATAGACTTTTTTTATGGAAAAATTAAAGAATTTAAACTTAAATTTAAATAAGGATAAAAGATGAATATTATATTTTTAAAGGATGGTGAAATTTCATCATTAAAGATTAAGATATGAATTTGAGTCTTCTTTAATTTGAGAAAAAATGAATCTTCTTTCATTTGATATGGGTTTGAGTTTAGTATTTGACAAAAATTTTAAGAGTTTTTTGCTGAAATTTAAATTTGAGTTTAAAAAAAGTAAGAATCAAAGATGTTCTAAAAGAAAGAAATGTTTACTTTATTTTTCGGGTGAGGAATATTTGCATATTTAACTTAGGGCCGATCCAATATGAAATTCACACTGAATTGGAAAATTTAAATTGGGTTAATTGCGTTAGAGGTCCCTCAATGTCTTATTTTGGTCTCTAATATTTCAATTGCATTATTTTATTCCTTAAACTATTAAATATATTTTTATGTAATCTCTCAAACAGACACTATCCAAACTATTAACAGTTTTTTATCATAAACTTGTAACGTGATATTTAAATATAGACAAAAAATAATATGAGCAGTTCTTGACCAAAATTTGAATAAGTCATAATTAAAACTATGTAATTTTTGTAGCTCTTTAACCAAAATTTAAATAAAAATTTGATCAAAAGTTATCCAAATAGGTATTACGTGAAAAGTTTATAATAAAAAATTATTAACAATATGGACGTCTGTTTGAGAGATCATATAAAAATATATTTAATACTTCAAAGACCAAAATGATGAAATTGAAATATTATGAGCTAAAATAAGATAAATTCTATACTTTGAAAATTTCTAGTGCAATTAACCGATTTAAATTTAAGTTTATCAAATTTAGGTGATAAACTACTGAATCCACAGAATATGATTTATAAAAGATATCAATTCGAGTACATACAATAATAGCGAATCGAGTATGATGTGAGCGAATTTATTTGGAAGAGAATTTCATACGCACAACCAAATTTGATTGTTTGATGGCGTTTTGTGAATTTTTTGTGCTTTGGTGTTAACCAGCCCAGATTCAGGCCAAGTCTGGGCTAGTTCATGGATTAAGTTCAGTTCATCGGAAGTCAGGCTTAGCTCGTACTCTCAATCTAATTCAAAGTTCAAGAGTTTAAGAAGAGTCAACGTAAATAATAGAACAATCATCAGGATAGTCATTATTTCAAGATAGTGTCAATCCTCAATTGTAGTTAACCTCCCTGATAAATTAGTAGATTGACCTTCACGTCACCCGCCACAGCTAGGGTTATATGCCTATACATTGTAAACCCTTCTACACATGGGGGATAGAGGACACACACCTCATCTTGAGCGTACTATTGCACTCTCTCTCTCTCTCTCTCTCTCTCTCTCTCTCTCTCTCTCTCTCTCTCTNCTTCTTTCATTTGATATGGGTTTGAGTTTAGTATTTGACAAAAATTTTAAGAGTTTTTTGCTGAAATTTAAATTTGAGTTTAAAAAAAGTAAGAATCAAAGATGTTCTAAAAGAAAGAAATGTTTACTTTATTTTTCGGGTGAGGAATATTTGCATATTTAACTTAGGGCCGATCCAATATGAAATTCACACTGAATTGGAAAATTTAAATTGGGTTAATTGCGTTAGAGGTCCCTCAATGTCTTATTTTGGTCTCTAATATTTCAATTGCATTATTTTATTCCTTAAACTATTAAATATATTTTTATGTAATCTCTCAAACAGACACTATCCAAACTATTAACAGTTTTTTATCATAAACTTGTAACGTGATATTTAAATATAGACAAAAAATAATATGAGCAGTTCTTGACCAAAATTTGAATAAGTCATAATTAAAACTATGTAATTTTTGTAGCTCTTTAACCAAAATTTAAATAAAAATTTGATCAAAAGTTATCCAAATAGGTATTACGTGAAAAGTTTATAATAAAAAATTATTAACAATATGGACGTCTGTTTGAGAGATCATATAAAAATATATTTAATACTTCAAAGACCAAAATGATGAAATTGAAATATTATGAGCTAAAATAAGATAAATTCTATACTTTGAAAATTTCTAGTGCAATTAACCGATTTAAATTTAAGTTTATCAAATTTAGGTGATAAACTACTGAATCCACAGAATATGATTTATAAAAGATATCAATTCGAGTACATACAATAATAGCGAATCGAGTATGATGTGAGCGAATTTATTTGGAAGAGAATTTCATACGCACAACCAAATTTGATTGTTTGATGGCGTTTTGTGAATTTTTTGTGCTTTGGTGTTAACCAGCCCAGATTCAGGCCAAGTCTGGGCTAGTTCATGGATTAAGTTCAGTTCATCGGAAGTCAGGCTTAGCTCGTACTCTCAATCTAATTCAAAGTTCAAGAGTTTAAGAAGAGTCAACGTAAATAATAGAACAATCATCAGGATAGTCATTATTTCAAGATAGTGTCAATCCTCAATTGTAGTTAACCTCCCTGATAAATTAGTAGATTGACCTTCACGTCACCCGCCACAGCTAGGGTTATATGCCTATACATTGTAAACCCTTCTACACATGGGGGATAGAGGACACACACCTCATCTTGAGCGTACTATTGCACTCTCTCTCTCTCTCTCTCTCTCTCTCTCTCTCTCTCTCTCTCTCTCTCTTTCTTTCCTGCTACCTTGTACTCTCTTATTAATAGAGTTTTTCGATCACCGTTGTCGTTTTCAGTGGTTAGGTCATCCAGACCCAACCACCAATCTTAGTCTCTTATTATTGATTGTTTCATTAATTATCTTACATCATACACTCAACTGATTTGATTGTACATAAATTCACTTTTGTGTATCATTAATTTGGCACCGTTTGTAAGAACTTATTTGATTCTCACCCTACAATCTTCCTACCTTCGATGACAATCACACACACACACACATATCTGAATTGTTAGTTAAATATTAAAAAATTAACAATTACTTGTCTGTTAGAATCTCAACCATTTCTCCCTCTCATTAAATGAAGTTAATCATTCTTTCTCTCTTCCACGTCCTTTTTTTCCCTCTCTCTGTTTTTCCCTCTCTCATTTTTGCTTCACACATAAAAATTAATTAAAAGAATGTATAATCTCATCCAAGAGGCAATGCCATTTACAGTAGATTGAAGCTTCCATACCAAAGTAAGATACACTCATCAACAACTCCTTTTGTTCATCTTTTTTCCGCTAGAGAACACCATTTCATTACATTTTTCTCTTGTATACACTCCCCCCCCATCTCCTACAAGGCAGATAATCACGATCTTTACTAGATTAATAACTGTATTTGGTAATATAAGTTTTTATTCTATTAGTATATTTTATATTGCATTTGATTGCAAAGAAAATTCATTTTTGTGTTGTCTTTATTTATTAGAAGTTGGAATGGATGTTGTAGAAGATGTTATATATGGTGGAAAATACAGATGAAAGTTACATTCCCCAAGTTTCATATGAGAAGAAACCAAAAGAATGCCAAGAATTCAATTCATTGGGTGAAACATATAATTTTTCCAACTCCTATGCACGAGAAGCTGGTTTGGGTGCAAGGATAGACAAGAGTAAGAGAAAAAAGGGAAATGATGAAACTTATTGGAAACAATATGTTTGTTATAAGGAAGGAGAAACAAATGAGACTCACAAACAGGAAAAAAAGAAAAGGAAAAAAATTTGAATCAGAATAGGAATAGATTCTAGTAACATAGAAAGGCTACGAGGAAAAATACACGAGGGTTGTAAAGCAAAATTATCTGTTGTTCAACATGGGCCGAATTACAGAATCACCAAATTTATCGAGGGCCACAACCGTCCCATTACAACCCCCTACTAAAATACACTTGTTAAACTCACACCGAAAGGATTCAGATGCAAAGAAAGTATCGGCACAACAGTTTGCAATTGTAACCATTCCAAAGCATCAGCAATTTGATATCTTTGAGGCACAAGCAGGAGGATTTCAAAATGTTGGATGTATAGAAAGAGATATCCGAAACAATGAGCGAGATATGAGACAAAAATTGAAGGGTCATGACGTAGATATGTTGAACGAGTACTTCAAATCTGAACAAGAAAAGAATCCTGCATATGTCTTTGAATTTGATATAGATAAAGATAATCGGATGAGCCGTTGTTTTTGGGTTGATCCAGTTGCGATAAGGACAAACAATTCTTTTGGTGATGTTGTGGTTTTTGATACGACATACAATACTAACCGTTAGAGTATGATATTTGTTCCACTTACGGGTGTCAATCACCATGGTCAAACAATCATTTTTAGATGTGGTTTTTTAAGTGATGAAATTATATATTCTTTCACTTGACTGTTTGAAAAATGGCTCAATGCAATGTTGAAGGGTCCGCCAGGAGTTATTATCACATATCAAGACTCAACAATGGCAAATGCCATATCTCAAGCTCTTCCACTTACCTTCCATCATCATTGTATTTGGCATATATTGAAAAAATTCTCGGAAAAGCTAGACTCAATTGTTTACCGAGATCACTATCATTAGTTTACAATATGCATATGGGATTTTGAAACATGAGAAGAATTTGAAGAACGTTGGAAGAATGTGTTGAAGGGAAGTAAACAGGAAGATAATGATTGGCTAAGAAAAATATATGAAATGCGTGATAGATGGGTCCCTGCATATGTCAATACAAAATTTTCTGCTGGAATGTCGAGCAAAAAGTTCACATGCTTTCTTTAAAAAGTATTGTTTGAGAACTAATTCATTGATGGATTTTATCTTGCGATTTAATATAGGGCTTGAACATATACGACATCAAGAGTTAACCGCCGATCATTGTGATATCAACGAACAACCAAACTTGAGATCTCTAGTGCCTATGGAGAAACAAATGATGGGTATTTATACAAAAAAATACTTTCATATTTT